GTGTATGTGTGTCTTTGTGTGTATTGCATATGTGTATGCATATATGTATTCGTGTGTTTGTGTGCTGTATGTGTGTATGCATGTGTATATATAGATGCGTATGTGTATTGCGTGTATATATGTGTGTGTTTGTGTATACGTGTGTATAAATAGGTGTGTATATGTGTGCATGCTGCTGCTGCTGCTGCTAAGTCACTTTAGTCGTGTCCGACTCTGTGCGACCCCATAGACGGCAGCCCACTAGGCTCCGCCATCCCTGGGAGTCTCCAGGCAAGAACACTGGAGTGGGTTAACACTTTGCTTCTCCAATGCGTGAAAGTGAAGTCACTCAGTTGTGTCCGACTCTTCGCGACCCCATGGACTACAGCCTACCAGGCTCCTCCGTCCATGGGATTTTCCAGGCAAAAGTACTGGAGTGGGTTGCCATTGCCTTCTCCGATATGTGTGCATACTTGTGTTTAAAACCCAACTCAGATCTACTCATTGCTGGGACCCAGTGGGTGGGCCCCCTCTGCAGAGCCAGGTCGAGTCCATGATAACTAATTCCTCCAGGGTTCCTGGGTTACAAGGATCTCTTCTTGAGTTATACTGACCTTCCCTGAACCAGACTCTCCGGGCACAGTTGCTCTCTCTAAGAATCACAACTATTCTACCAAACAAACAAACGTAACGAAATCCATCCCAATCTCCAAGAAAAGTCTATTCTAGGCCATGAATGCAGGAAGCCAGGAGAGGAAGCCAGGAGTGGACGTGGCCAGTGAGCCCTCAGCTCTGCCAGGACACTGAGTCCCTCCCCCACAAGGTCACCTCCCTCCAGGCCTGTGAGCTTTCTCCCAGGGCAGCTGTGGGCAGAAATAGGAGAAAGAGCTGGGTACGCACTTTGCAAATAAAAGGCGTGGGCAATATTTCATGAGGATGTGAAGAGTGAATTGCATTGTTCCCAACAGAAGGGGTATTTTGTGTGCCTCTTTGTGCCATGGAGGGAACTGTTACAGTCATTCAAAGTAAACATGAGTGTTTACAAATGTTAGCTCCAGTGCAGGCAGGTGACTTCTTAAGGGAAGAGGGTTTACAGATGAACGGTGGGCTCTTGAGAGGAGGAGGCAAGGGGGAGAAGATGTGCAGACATGACAGCAACAGAACAAAAGAAACAAAGATTGTGTTCACTCACACGCATACAAAACGCTAAAATCGGAACCAGAGGAAAACAGGCAATCTGGGACTGTTAGGTGACTGATAGGAGTACCACTGGACATGAAGTCCTGAGTAAGATTTGGAGAAAGCAGAGTGCAGGGATCTTGCTTCCCCAGTATTCAGCACCACTGAGGGGGCTTCCCTTGTGGCTCAGACGGTAAAGAATCTGCTTGCAATGCAGGAGACCCAGATTTGATCCCTGAGTCAGGAAGATCCCCTGGAGAAAAGAATGTCAATCCATTCCAGTATTCTTGCCTGGAGAATTCCATGGACAGATGATTCTGGCAGGCTACAGCCCATGGGGTCACAACAAGTTGGACACGACTAAGCGACTAACACTCCTTAAACTCCTTAAAACAGCACTTTCCCAGCAGGTGATGGCAAAGTGTCTTGAGAAAAAGGTGTCTTTTTCAAATTAGAAAGAACATCGCATGGACCAGCTACAGCCCCCACCCAGCCTCCCGGAGCCTTGGGCTTCACACTGCAGACAGGACTGCAAGATAAAAACTAAGATCCCTGTGTAAGGTTCGACCCACGCTGACATTTCCTAGGCTATCAGAATTTTTTTTTTAATTAAAAAAAAATTTTTTAAGTGACCTAAGAATCTTTCTAAGACGCTCACCGTGCAGTGGAGTTACCTGCAAATGAACACCAATTATTTGAGCATCTATAGCTTGGCACTTTTTATTACTAGGTCTACACGCTAAGCCCCAGACGCCAGCAGCCCTACCCTTGGAGAAGCTGAATAGAACTGCAAATCTGTGTGCAATCAAACAAGCCATTATCCGTCCCAGTAGAGAGGCTCCAGTTTTGTTGGCCTAACAAGGAAACATTCATTCCCCTGGGTATAAGTAATATGACCTGGCTCTCAACAGGCTGACTCCTTGCTGCCACCTCGGAAAGACAGAGAGCTCCTGATGGCTGGGTCAGCACCATCTCCCCCACTGAACACTTGGCCACTGAATATGGCTCTTGGAGCCACAGTGGCAGACTCTTGTAAAGGGATTTACCAGCCCCGACTTCTGACTGAACCCAGGGACCCAGCGAGACCCAACAGGCTGTGGACAATTCCAGAGATCACGGTTATCACCCTGGAGATGTCTTTGTGCTTCCCAGCCAAAGAGGGCGCCCCGCTCGTGGACAAACACAGCCTGATTGGATGATGAAGCCCCGCCCCCTCTTCTCAGGTAAACAGCCTGAAACTGGAGTTCAGGAGGAACTTGTGCCCTGGGAGGTGTGAGTGTTTGGGGGCCTTGGCCCAGCTCTGAGAACTTAGTAACCAGTTTCTTAAACTGCTCCCAGGACACTGGTTAGTAAGAACCTTAACGCACCCAGGAGACAAAGTGAGTAGCGAGTGTACAGCTGGAGCCCCCAAAGGCCCAAGGGAGACGAACGGGGCCTCTGTGGATTCTCTGCCCCCACCTCCCATTCCCCTCTGTCTCCAGGAGACAGAGTGCCAGGCTCCCTCCTCCACTCGGGCCTCTGTATCAGGTTCTGCATTTGGAAATCCTGTCTTCACCTCCCATTTCTTAGGTGTAAACTAGAGTATTCCTTTGTAGTCCAGCGGTGGGAGCATTTATCTTGAGCTTACTCTGTGATGCCTGTGTTTTGCAAACTAAAGTGAAACAAAGCCCATGCCCTGGGTGTCAGAGGTGCCCATGAGCCGCCCACCTAACTTGCCAACTAACCCCCTCTTCCCCATCCCCCACCTCCCT